AGCCCTGTCCCGCCACCCGCCCATGGTCTCTGCATCCTCACTGGCTGTGTCCTCATCCACATTGGTCCGGTTGGAGCCTGGGTAGCCTGGCCCATTCCCATAGAGAATGGACGTGTAGTTCTTCTCGTCAGTGGCCTTGCTGGGGGCCAGACCTAGGGAGGGTGCGATGGAGGGGGGGATCAGCCAAGAAACCCCCATATCGTCCCTCTGGCCACAGCCAGGGTGCCCTGGAGCCGGCAGCACCCAGCACAGGGCCGTGCCCTGCTCTTGGTGGCTGGGCAGAGCCCTACCGAAGATGGAAGAGCCACGCAGGGTGTAGCCACCAAAGGAGAAGACGTGCGAGTGGTCGGCGGTGATGACGGTGAGGGTCTGTGCCTCATCTGTCAGGGCACCTGCCCGCTCAATGGCCCAGTCGAACTCCACCGCCTCCGTCAGCGCCTTCTGGGCTGCACCGTCATGGTGGCCATGGTCGATTCTGCCACCTGCAGATGGGCACCTGTGGTGGGCTGGGGACCTACCGCAGCACCCCCAACTGTTACCTCCACCTCAAAACGTGGGACGCCCCCTCTTTCCTGCCCCAGGGGCACCAGCCCCAACTTATCTTCCACGAAGAGGTAGAACCCGTTGGGATTCCTGCTCAGGATGGTGATGGCAGCTTCCATCATCTCGGTGAGCGATGGGTCCAGGGTGGTGTTACGCACAAGGTTGTACTTCATGTCCCCAGGTTCAAAGAGACCTGGGAGGGGACACGTTGGGGACAGCCTCAGTGCCTGCATGTGTCCCAGTGGCTGTCGGATCCTTGCACACAGGACATTTGTTACCCATCAAATAGTTCACTTTGGGGTCGTCGGCAGCAGCCAGCATCTCTGTCCTGTTCCAGACATAGCGGGCGCCCTGCAGGAAAATCCCATGGGGGGGTCAATGGGTGGCTGGTCCCCTGCTGAGAGGGAGCAGAGGGAGGGGGGGAGAGGACCCACCGGCCGTGCCTCCAGCCACATGTTGATGAGGTTATTCCCATCCTCACGCATCCCGTTCTCCGATGTGTAGGTGGGATACTCGGGGTCTGGTGTCCCCACAGGGGTCATGTATTTCCGACCGCCCCCCAGGATCACCTGGACAAGATGGGTGCAGCATTAGCAGGGGTGCCTGCGAGGGGGATCTGCCCCTGCTCCCCCCCCTCCATGATGGGCACTCACGTTGATGTCAACGTTGTGGACCAGCTGCCAGGCGATGTCCTTGCAGCCCTGACGGCGAGCGTCTGCGGGCATGCTGGCATCCGCGTACCAGTTGCGGTTCACCACGTGGGCGTAGGTCCCCGAGGGTGATGCGTGCTGCACCCGCGTCGTTGTCACGATGCCCACCGCCTTTCCTGTCACCCCCCACCCATCAGACCCCGCAAAGGGTAACAGGGGATCCCCCCCATCGAGCCCCGGGATGCTCATGGTGGGGGCAGCCCCCAGCTTGTTGCCCATTGTCCCCACGGGGTCTCCCTAAGCCCCGCCGACCTGTGCCCCCCATTACCGGCTTTGCGGGCTCGCTCCAGCACCGAGACCACCTCGTTGCCAGCTGTGGTGTTGCACTGCGAGTGGCGGGCAGCCGCGCTCAGCC